CCAGATTGAAAGTGAGGGGGTGGAGAACCATTTATCATGCTAATGAACATTAAAAGAAAGCTGGAGTAGCCATCCTCGTATCAGACAAACTAGATTTTCTTTTTATTCTATTTTTTAGAGATTTTATTTATTTATTTGAGAGAGAGAACAAAATATGGGAGGGGCAGAGGGACAAGCAGACTCCCCGCTGAGCAGGGAGCCCGATGTGGGGCTTGATCCCAGGACCCTGGGATCATGACCTGAGCTGAAGGCAGACACTTAACCAACTGAGCCACCCAGGCGCCCCAGACAAACTAGATTTTAAACTAAAGACTGTAATAAGAGATGAAGGACACTGTATCCAATATATGACAATTCTATGACTGATTTTCCCCATTTTACTCTTAATACTTTGAGTAAAAGGATTATGTCTTATACTTATCCCACTAGTGCCTAGCATGGTGCCTCATAGATATACAGAAAAAATTGTTGACTACTAAATATTCATATATAGTTGAAATTTTTTCATTATTGTATTGCTCAGTGGAGTGAAAGGAACTGGAACATTTTAACAGTTGTTATTCTGTCAGCTGATCTGATCATCATTAATTAACCAGTGGGAGAGGTGATTTTTAATTTGTGAAAAGGAAAACTATTTCACCTAGTTATGGCTTGGTTAATAAATCATATTTGAAAATACTGTGTCCACAATAGGCACACCAATATACTCAACCTTTTCATGTCCACTTTTCAATTTTTAAAGAAAGGGATAAAATTTTCAGGGCATTAAAGAAATGAGAAGTAACTGGCATTACTAGGAAATTCTCTAGCTTGGATTTTTTTTTAACTTAGCATAGGCATAGATAGCACGTCTTGGATCTATTTAATGTATAGTTAATGTTTACTTTTGTGGTAACCTTACTTTTGGCCAATGGGATTTAAAGCAAGCTATAACCCGTGGTTGCCGGCCAAAGGGCTTGTGGATCGGCACCATGGACAGAGGAATGGGGTGGAAAAAGTCACTCTACGGCAGCTTGTACAACGACAAATGTGGTATCAGATATACTACCAAGGAAAGGCTGTGTGAACATTCCTCTGGGGATCATTTGAAGACAGTGGCTCTGGATTTGGGTCAACTCAGAGGACAGAGTCTTAAGAAAATAACCACCCCTCCAAGAAGTCTCCAAGTAGTATGATCTGCCTCATACTTTGGATTTTATTGACCTATATTGATTCACTATTTTTTCCACAATCTGATCTTCTGTTCTCAAGTCACCAACATTTTCACCCCAAAATAAATGTAAACACCTAATTAGAAAATGTGGAGGACATCTGTTCTTTTTACCATCCAGCATCTATGACCCTTTCTTCTTTGCAAACCACCTTTCAAAAAAATAACTGTTTTTAAAAGATGGTATCAAGGAATTCTTGATGCTAACAGGAAGCGTTTGATGGTATTGAAGTTATGTTTAAAACAAGAGTCCCTGTCTTTTAGCAATACCTTCTGATAGTTACAAATGAATAATGTGATGTCTGGGATTTGCTTCAAAATATCCAGGATTGGGGAGTGGGTAGAGATATAGGGAGGATAAAATTGGCCATGAGTTGCTAATTGTTAAAACTGGAAAAGGAGAACATGAGAGTTAATTCTACTTCTTTGTATTTGATGGGGCACCTGGGTGGCTCAGTCGGTTAAGCCTCAGACTCTTGATCTCAGCTCAGATCCTCATCTCACAGTGGTGAATTCAAGCCTCACATTGGGCTCCACACTGACAATGGAGCCTACTTAAAAAAAAAAAAAATACTGGTGTGTGTTACTGAGAGGCCACCAAACAAAAACAAAACAAAAAACAACAAACTACTCCTAAAGATCTTATGATCCTACATCTGAGAGATAATGAACATGCCCCAGTACCCTCTGCTCCAAGAGGAACTTGAGGAGGTTAGGCTATAACTTTCTCATGCAGGTGAGATTTTGTCTTTTGGAAGTCCATGTGATGGAATAGGAAGTTCAGATGTCTACGGATGATCACTTTCTTGAGGAGCGAGATGTTTCAGGAAAACAGTTTCTAAGAAATGAAACTTTTCATGCACCACCTGACAAGAAGCGGCTGGGGCAGCCTAGAATTGCAGGAACTGAGGCTGAGTGTGGGAAGTGCTTGTGATGGTGGGCCCAAAGTCAATACACTGAAGCTCTAAATCAGAACAAAAACAAAACAAAAAGACACTGTTTAAATATAAATGGGCTAGATAAGTAGAGGAAACCAAGATATAATGCCAAGCACATTAGGATGGAGAGGAGCTAAAATATGAAGAGGGTGGAGAGGTACAAAAGAAAGACACACCTAAATATTTGGAGGGGGGGGACATAAGGACTTTTCATTGCAATAGCCATGTCAGAAGCAAATGAGGAGCCAAAAGAGAGAGTGAGGGATAAAATGAGAAAAGGAATGTAAAAGTGCTTCAAAATCTGTGAAACTGTGCACACATGGCAAGAACTGCTCAGAGGCTATGGGCAGCAGATGGGGTTGAGTGCCTACTCAGTGAAGTACTGCTGTAAGCACCCGGCACATGTGGCTTAAAAAAAAAAAAAAAAAAGTCCTGCTTCATTGAGCTAGTATTCTGGTGGGGGAAACAAATAGATGTATTTGCCAAGTGTTTGAATTCCACCTGGCTGTTTCATTTAGGCAGAAAATGTGGCCTCCAGCTTGCTGCAGTCCCCACCATTCCCTACTGTCTTATACTCTGCCTACTTCACTCATTTATGTTACCTGCCTGAGCTCTGCAGGCTTGTGAGTTTGTGACCCGTACTCTCCCGTCCCTGAGCTGCTTGTGACGCCTGCCTCTCCTAAAACCACCAAATGGCCCAATGAGCACATAAAAGACCCTTTTCTTATCTGAATCTGAATCCCGAGTTGCCATTAACCTGAAGTTACCCTGGGTGGTTACATCACCTCACTGAGATCTCAGTGTTCTCAACTGTAAAGTGGAGGCAACCATATCTGCTTTACAGGACTTCTGTGAGGACTAGACATTACCTAACCAGCTCTTACTCCTCCTTGGGATCTCATCCTTAGCAATACTTCTTAAAGAAACCTACCCAGACCTCCTCACTAGGTCAAATCCCTCTAATATAGGTAGATCCTCCCACCATGTTCCTCTTCTGGGGAGTACCTGTGGGAGTTACAATTGTACCTTAGCTTATTTGATTATTTGACTAATGCCTGCCCCTCCCAGCAGATTTGGAAGTGCAAGTGGCATGGATCCCACTTTTGCTCACCACCTATCATCACGCCTGGCACAAAATAGATGCTCAAAAAATACTAAAGAGAAAGAAAAGTAAACTGTGCAAAGACAACCCCTGGCATACATTGGGTGCCCCATAGATTCTCTCTGACCCTCCCTCACCTAATGCCTGTCACATAAACGACACTCCTAGCTTCTGGGCAGCTAGAATTTGTAGATTGAGTTTTATCTAAGACTTCTGCTGAGAAAGAAAAGTCACTAAGCTTTCTTTTCTAATAGGCCACCTACTCCTAGAACGGGGATTTTTGTTTTGCCCACTGATGTATGCTAAGTGCCTAAAACACTGCCTGGCACCTCATCAATAAAGGGGTGGGTGGGTGGGCGGGCAGGCATCGCTCTGAGTTTCACAGAAGTTAGGAGGCAAGGACAGCTCCTCCAAGCAACCACAGTGGCGGGTGGGGAGGGAGGAGTGGGGACTCTGGGCCGACCCCCCTGGTTCACGTTCAGCCACATCAACTTCCCCAGAGCTAGGGCAGTAGGACCCCCAGACGACGGGGCGTCCCCTCGCCCGCCCTGGAGTACGGGATGGAGCCAAGCACAAGTGCTCCCACGGAGGAGGGTGGAGAACAGCCGGGGCGCCCTCGCGCCTTCCCTGGGGACCTGGACGGGGCTGCCCCAGGTGCTCCCACACCGGGGGTCAGACAAGGCGCCCCCGCGCCGCCCTTGGGGGCCTGGGTGGGACCGCCCCAGGTGCTCCCCCACAGGAGGTAACCAACAGGGCACACCCGCGCCGCCCCAGGTGCTCTCTCACCTGAGGGACGGATGGGGCGGCCCCGCGCCCCCCTAGGGGACGGGACGGGGTCGCCCAGGTGCTCCCACAGGAAGACACCGGGGCCCGGAACCCTCAGCGAGGGCAGCAGTCCGCGACAGTCGCCGCCCTCAGAGGATGCCCCGGAGATGTCCACACCCTCTGCGACAGACCCCTCCGCCAGGCAAAGGAGTCCCCGCTCCCACTCCCTTTTCCGCTACAGAAAGGCCTTTGCGCCGCCTCCCCAGTAGTGTCCTTCACCTCAGAGGCGTCTCCCCGCCTCCCAGACTCCACGGCTGAGGGAAGCCTCCCACTCTCCTTTTCCACACTGTTCCATCTTCTCCCGCAAAATGTCTGCTCGGCCTCCGACTGTGTCCCTCCGCCCCGCGAAGCTTCTCCGCGCCCCTCCTCACTCCTAAAGTCCCTCAGCGGCGAGTAGCTGCGCTGCGCGTCTCGCGAGAGTCCACCACGCAGCCCTCTTCCCCAGCCCCTCGCCCGCGAGGAAGCCTCCCGGACCCCGCGGCGCGCGGTCACGGGCGGCGCATGCGTCGCCGCGGCTCCCAGCACCCCCCGCGCAGTCCGCGGGCGGAGCGGAACAGGCCGCGCGCGCGGGGCCGACAGCCGCCTTGTGCGAGGCCTCGCTGGGTCCCCGCGGCTTCTCTCCTCTCAGGGGCGGAACCGCCTCGCGGCCTTTCCTCGGCGTGCGGAGGTTTCCTGAGGACGGCTGGGACCGCCTTGGGCCCAGAAGAGCCCGGCGCTGGCCTCGGACACCGCCGGCCCCACAGGCCACCCCGCAGCGGCCTGGGCGCGCCTCCCAGGCCGAGCCTCGCACCCGGAACCCCAAACCCCCGGCCGGGCGGGGCCTGCACATCCGGCCCCACCCACCCGGGGCCTCGCCTCCCCGGAGCCCAGCCCCCTCCCGGCCCGACGTCCGCCCCCGCCCACCCCTCCTTCTGTCCCCCCTGATTTTCTCCCGGTTCCCTGGCCTTGCTCTTTCGGACATTGCACTAAAAGAGATGCGCCCTGGAAAACCACATCTTGTTTGGAGACGAGCCCGGGTTTGGGACCTTAGGGTACAAATTCTCCTTTTCCAGCGCCTAGGATAGATTTGATTAATGAGCCCGGAGTACCCTGTTCCTGCTGACACTGCCGTTTTTCACTTCCCTGCCCTCCCACACTTCCAAAATCATTAAGCAGGGAGCTCTTGGAGGTTTATGAGTCTACTTTGAGCTAGACGTGAGTTTGACCCCGGGGTTGGAGCATGGCTGTATCCCTGGACCTTCAGATCGACGCTCCCCTGGAGGTTGAGGAATGCTTAATAATGAAGGTGGAAAAGGACCCCGAGTGGGCAGCGGAACCCACTCTGGAAGGATCGGAGAGCTCTGAGTCCGAGACCTTTCGCAAATGCTTCAGGCAATTCTGTTACGAGGATGTGACTGGACCCCATGAAGCTTTCAGTAAACTCTGGGAACTTTGCTGCCGGTGGCTGAAGCCAGAAATGCGTTCCAAGGAGCAGATCCTTGAGCTGCTGGTGATTGAACAGTTTCTCACCATTTTACCGAAGAAGATTCAGGCGTGGGCACAGAAGCAGTGTCCGGAAAGTGGAGAGGAGGCGGTGGCCCTGGTAATACATTTGGAGAAAGAGACTGGAAGACTAAGACAGCAGGTGAGAGAGGATTTTCCAAATTGTTGTATTTAGAAAGAAGGAGATGGGTAAGGTGGGGGCGGGGGGGGGCGGGGGAGACAGGCATGCCTTGCAGATAGGGCTTATTATGGAGGGAGAAATGGTACTAATGAGAGACCTTTAAAGTGAATCAACTTAAAAGAGGATCGGAATTTCATATTAAATAGGAAAAAAAAAATCTTGCTTGAAATAGTATTTTGCAAATGAAGTTAAACATTATGCATCAACGTATTTGTTCACGTCTTTGGCATAATGTTTCCCAAAAATTATATGAGAGAACAATGCATTATGCTTTGCCGGGTTGGACTCTTGCAGCCTGATTCTAAAGAGGGCTATTTTTGCAAAGAAAGAAAGCACAAACTTCATCAGTTATCCCAGGGCCCTCTCTAGTCCTTTAATATTCTAATGTGTATCTTCTGAGGTGCCCTCGATGCCATCATCCTTGTCACTGTTCTCTAGTTTAACCACCAGATCTTCGTCCGTCAGTGGCATTTCATGGTCTTCTAGTTGTTTTCAACAGCCCTTTCATTAACCTCATGAAATCCTGCAAGATTTGCAAGATTTGCAGTTTCACCTTGCACGGGATTTGCATTCGTATAAAGATTTGACTATCAGCAGGCTGCTGTGTTGGTCAGGGATAGACACTACATGTGGAAATTAATTTTATATTTTCAGTTCACTAGTGAATTTATTTTGCTGCTCTCTGAACCTAAGAGATGTGAGGACTCAGTATCTATTCTAATACTAAGGAGGCTGTGTATTTTACTCCTGATAGATTTTCCCCCCTCTGTATACTAATGAAGAGCACTCTCCTGTTCCCTTATCCCTAGACTTCTGGACAGTACTATTTACCCAATGCCCTTGGAGACTCCACTTGGCATGGAGTGAAATTTTCATTCCTTCTCATATCTCCTGTCCTTCTCTGATATCTTTCTGGGGGAAGTTTGGTCTTCATCGGGCCCTGTTTTCCTCCCTCTTTCCATTATGGCATTGGCTTTATTTCCCAGGTTAGCAGTCCTGTGCCCTCAGAGAAGCAGGTCCCACTGGGAGCAGCATGGGAGGTAACGGACTTTCAGCCAGAGCAGGTGGAGACTCAACCCAGGGTGGTGTCTCTGGAGGAAGCTGGAAGCCTCCACTCAGGACATGAGGAGCAGCTGAACCGAAAGAGAGAGCATTGGCCTTTACCCAGGAATGGTAAGAAGAACTCAGAGCATTCCCAGTGCAGAGACAATTGCACATGTATTTTGTAACCCTAACTCCATGACTTGCTCACAGTAAGATCCCCTCAATACGTATTTGAAAATAAATGGAATATTTGGGGAGCAAGTGTTCATTTGCTTCAAGAGTTGGGAATATGTGCAGCATAAGTAAAAGGCATCTGGGAAGATGGACTCTGGGAAAACTTAGTTTGCCCGGACTGGCCTCAAGGTCATGCCGTGAAATTTAAGAATCTCCCATTCCATAACCAGCTTGTGTTTTTTCAGTCCTGCCATGTGTGTATGTGTCTGTGTTCTTGGCTGACTATAAACAACTTTAAAAACTGTTTGGAAAGAGAAACAAGATATTTACTTTATATTTTTTTTAAGATTTATTTACTTGAGAGAGAGAGAGAGAAAACACAGAGGGAGAGTGAGAGGGAGAAGCAAACTCCTCATTAAGCAGGGAGCCCGATGCGGGGCTCCATCCCCGGACCCTGGGATCATGACCTGCGCCAAAGGCAGACGCTCAACCAAGTGAGCCACCCAGGTACCCCAAGATATTTACTTTAAAAAATTGGCTCACAAGTGAAGCATCACAGAAGTAGCATATGAAAGTGGTAAACAATAAGATTTCACAGAGGAGGGAGCACAGGCTTCCTAGCTGCCCTGGACATTAGTAAGTCATGTAAGAGGAAATCGAACACCCTGTCTTTCCCCGTCCACTGTGATCTCTACATCCCCGCAGTCTGGTGTCAGGCTGAGAGAGAGGGATGGGATGATCACTGGACCTACAGCAGAAGGCTTGGGTTTATATCTTCCTGTCTCTGTACCTCTGTCTGTCTGTCCTTAGGCAAGTAATATGGAAAGGAGCATTAACGCACAGAGGTTAAGCGATTAGGCCTTAGAGACAGACAGCCCGGACACAAAACCTAGCTCTGCCATCCATTATCTGTGTGGCCTTGGTTAGGTTACTTCTCAAACTTTCCATTCTGTCATTTGTAAAAGGAAAATAATAAGGTTGTTAGTGTTGGTTAAAGGAGGCAGCGTAAAGGGACCAGCACATACGGTGGTCAATAAATGTTAGTTCCCTTTCTCCCATAATGGCACAATTATTTTTAAACTTCCAATCTCAGACAGATTTTACACAACCCCTCACCAAGTGGCAGAATTCACTACTATGTACCCAACCTCCTTATCTTTCCTGAAATTCATATTGTGATAGAATTCATTGCAAATATTAATGTTTTCTGGATTTCAGAGTTCCCCTGGATCACATGCTCTCAGTTACTTTGGCTGATAAGCTTAGTCCAATAAATGTATGGTGTTTCTGGATTTGCCATCCAGGGTGACAAGGAATTCACAACGTGGAAAAGTGTGTTCTGTTGAGGTGCTTAGCGGGACAGTGCCACTGTGGTGTGCCATTCCCCCTGCTCAGGGGCACACTGCTTCCGTAACAGCTCGCTGAGAAACAGACACTGAACAGTATCTGCGCTTTTCACCGTTTTTTGTAAACGTGAAAATCCTTTTTTTGGATTTCTTTTAGTTAGCGAAAATAGGTACTAATGTATGCCTTTTGTAAAAACAAAGTGGCGTAACAGGAACTTTCGAAAAGCAGGGAATATCTGTAATATGTTTCCACGGAAGTGATTCAGGTTGCTTCTTTAGAAAGTAGTGGAACAAGCTCTTGAATTCTTGATCACAGTAATATTCATTCTGGAAGTTTTCCCTAGATAGCGGGTTCCAGAGTAGAAGTTAGACCACAGACTGTGCCATATATACGTGTATATATCTTCCTCCTACCTTTTGAGGGAGTGTACTGTATTTGCCTGTCGTTTCCAGAACTATGTATCTACGTGTGCTAACTTCTTTAGCATATTAAAGCGTTGATGAACTCATCCTAGAGATTGCAAACTGATAACTCACATGCCAAGTCAGACTTGTTGTGTTTTACCTACAAAGGGTTTTGGTTTGGGAGTTTTATTCATTTGTTCGTTTTTAGTTCTCAAGGTTTAAGATTTTTAAGATTTTATGCAAAAGTCCAGATTTCTGGCTTCTCCTGAAAATATCAGAAGCTCTAATGATAACAGGCCCATTGTCTCACAATGAAGCATTAAGTGGAAGTGGGCATTGGCAATATACCCTTTCAGTGGTGTATGTGCTCTCCAGTTCCCCCATTCCTTACCTGGCCCCCTTCATGATGCACTTTGCCTGCTAACTCCCTGCAAGCATTCACGTTTGTGAGCCCTGTTTCAGGGTACCATGGTTTCGGGCATTGTTCTGAAATCATTGATGAAATGATCAATTTATATTTGCTGGGTTTTTTTTTTTATGCATGCTCATTTCTTAAAAGGAGAAGCTGCATGCAGCATCAGGGAAATCCAAATCAAAACCTCAATGAGATACCACCTCACACCAGTCAGAATGGCTAAAATTTACAAGTCAGGAAACGACAGATGTTGGCGGGGATGCGGAGAAAGGGGA